TTCTTTCTCGCCTTCCTTTCTCCATCCCTCCTTCCTCGAGTGCAACCCTCAAAACCAGCCTCATTTATCGTGGTCAAGGTTACAGGTAGCAGCCATTATAAGTAATTCTCCACTGAGCCTCAGGCAAATACTGTACACTTGGCTAATAGCATTCACAGGGTAAGGGAAAGGATGTGTGGATGTGTGTGTGTATGTGAGTCTCCCAAATGCACAAATGGCTCTCCCAATACCTAATACCTGCTGCAGAGCATGAAGTAATTGGGCCAGAGGGAAGGGACACAGAACATTCATCACCAGGACTATTTGCAGCTAAGTTCTGCTCTGAGCCCGAATCAATTCTAATGCAGCTAATCAATTATTGTTCTGAAGGCTTAAAGGTGGACACGGAATTGGGACAAATTAATATCGTGGACCAGAATACATATTATCTTCCGTTTTATTGCCGGCACAACCCCTGGCCTTGGTTGATTCTCTTTGATATCCATGACATGAAAACCTCTCTCATTGCCTCATCATAAATAAGCACAGCCGTGACAGCCTCATTATAGGCAATCAATACATTCGCTGTGATAAAAAAACGACTGGCTGGCAAGCGGCTGATGTGTTCAGGGTCGGGATAACACCAGGCCAGTGTGGGAAGATATGATGATAGAGAATTACTAACATTAATCACTTTAGTCAAGGAGATTACCCAGTCTTGCTTTATTAGAAATCTCCCGCAGAGCAAAGAGAGGGGAGAGCAGGTCGGGAAGGGATATACTGTACACAGCTGCCTGGCACAGCTTTGCTCAGCAGTTAACTTAGAAAAGGTCAAACTGAATCTGAGAACATGCCTTACCTTGAGGCTGGGAACCCTGTACATAATGAGCATTAGTGGAAAGGGCTGTGCAATTATACGAAAGACACTCAAATTAATGATCATCAAAGAGGAGCAACTAGTGTTAATTTGGGTTTTTTCTCTCATTTTTCTACTCTTTCAAACTGAGTTACAGCCTGGAGGACTCACAGCAGGGGAAAGGAAGAAAGATACAATACAGGAAGACTTTCAAAAACAAGAAATCTTTTAAACCTGCAATAACTGATTTTTTGTCCACTTGGGGGCACTGGAAACATTTTGTGAAGACAACATTGACATATTAACACTGTTGATGTGGTGAAGAGTTGGCAGGGCTACTTTAGAAATGTAATCCAACGCAATTAGTATTCTACTATTTAGGGATGCTCGATATTGGCTTTTCTGCCGATATCCGATATTCCGATATTGTCCAACTCTCAATTTCCGATACCGATATTACCCAATACCGATATATGCAGGCTTTTTACACCAAAACTGTTAGGTAACAACATA